CGGGGCTGTGGTTGTTGTTGCTGTTAGAGCTATATATGGTGGGGATTTTGTTTAAAGTGTATATAGTCTATTATAAGATTTCCCATGAAGGATTTTTCGGTTGGTTCGTTTGTCCTTGTTTGTTTGGTTTGATTTATTACAGATTTGGTAGGTAACAGACATGGAGGTTGATCATTTTCTGGGGTTTGGCGGTGGTTGGTTTCATGTGGATGTTCGTCCTCTGTTATAGTTGTGAGAACCGTGTCCGCAACCACAAATGGACGGTAGGGCGGTGTTTTTGAGTGGCCAATTGAGTTTACGTTCTGCGTTGATGAAGAGATTTGTTTCCTCACTACAAAGTGTGGAGCAGAGGTCATCCAAGCTTAAGGGTTGTAGCTTTGTGCATATGGCTGTCTTAATGGCCTGCTAGGTGGCGGGTAATCCATTTAGTGAATGATGTCCTTTGAATTAAGTGCTGCTCCTACTGAGGCTATGTCATATACCTTGGATTTGATTGTGGAGAGATATTTGGTCATAGAACGATCCTTCATTGAAAGGTTGTATAGTTCGTTTCTGAGTTGAATGATGTGGGAATGGTTTGTGGATTGAAGCTAGTGTCGATGGTGAGCTATATTTCATGACATGATTCTAGGTTAAGAACATATGGGAGATGAGGGGGAGTTTGTCGAGTAGACTGCTGTGGCTAAATGTTGATCAATGTTAAGCCAAAGGTTGCAGTCATGATTTGGTTGAAGTGTGCTGTCGAGCACCTATATGGGAGGTGGTTTGAGTTGTAGAGCCATCTTGGTAGCCCAAATCCAAAGGTTTTTAACATCAGAATTTGAGACTTTTAATTTGGGTAGTTTTCAGGAGTTAATTGCGTGCTTATGATGTTTTTGATGACTAATTTGTGCTGAGGGAGAATGGTGGTGTTTTTTAGTTTGAGTAGGTTTGAATGATAGGTAAGAGTATTATTAGTGTTAGGGCGTGATATGTGGTTGAGGAGAAACTGGTAGGAAGTGAAAGTTCTTTGGTTAGATGGAGTTTTTGGGGGAGGGCTTTGCCGAATTTTTAGTTTTAGGTAGTGGCTCTGATACCATATCGACAAATAAAGCTAAGAAAGAAAAGAGAGACAATAAAAAGGTAGGCAGAGAAAACCTTGTATGTATTAATCTTTGAGTACATACAAGAATATTTCTCTTTATATTTTGCAGGATGCCTGTAGCTAATATATATATATATATATATAGATTTAGCACTGCGGAGTTGGGTTCCGTTTGGGGGGCAGCTTGTGCGTTTCAGGATAAGCTGCTTATCTAGAAACGCGGGCCCCGGGGGGCAACCCCCCGGCTCCCCGCGGCCTGCGCTTACTGTAAAAACCCAAACGCAGTTTCAGATAAACTGGCGAAACGCGTGAACCAAACGGTATGGCGGGCGGCGTTTTCAAAACGCCGCCCGCACTTATAAGATGCCCCAAACGGACCCTTGGTTTTGGAGTACTAGAGATCAAAACATTATGGTGAAGTTTTTTTATTTAGTGATGACTTGGATGAATACAGGACTAATGTTGTGATTGCGAGTGTTGAGGTGTTGTTGCTTGGTGTTTAAATGAGCCTGGCTTGAGCGAGCCTAATGCTTGGTAATGTTTGGCTCGTTCGAAATTATTTTTATTTGAAATATACTTGTTTGAAATGGCTCATGAATGACTTGTTCGTTTGTTAATTTAAACGTGTTAGGCTCAAAGGCAGCACAAAAAAAAAAAAAAAAAATAATAATATTTAACGTTTTTTAAATACAATATAAAATATTGTAATAATATTATTTATTTAATTATTTAATTAATTTTAGTCAAAAATGCGTTGAGCACGATCAAACAAAATTTCTTTATAAATCCATCTAAAAAATGTTGGTGTTTGACTCGTTTACTTAATGAAAGAGTCGAACAAGAGCTATTTTTGAGCGGAACATGAATTATTTTTCATGAACAATGAGCTTTTTTAAGAACCCAGCCGTTTGCTGATATCAGAAGTGAGATGTAGAACTTAGTGATGGGGTTATACATCTCTTTACAAAGAAACCGAGTTTAAACCATAAAATGGAGTTGAAGGGGCCAATTGTGCGCTTCTTTAATCGTTATGTAGAGCACACGATGCTCGCCCGGCTCCTAGTCAAAGAGATGTTCAACAGTGGGTTGATATTATTCGTTGTTTTTTAATTTGTATTATTTTCAAGTAGTATAATATATATTTTTTAAATATTTCTCATAATATATGATTTTCATTTTGTTGAAATGTGGGCGTGTTACATATATTCCACCTTATTTATACATGAAAAGTTGTATTTGACTTTGGAAAGGGTAAAATAGTGGTACTTTTGGTCTGATATGAAAAGATTTGGGTGTTAAAAAATGTAAAAAAAAAGTAAATTTTAGGTGTTAGATATGTAAATATATAAGAATTACCCTCCGCCAGAAAGGAATGATATTGAACCACATGACCCAACAGATTGATTATAACAAAAATGATTTCAAAATAAAAGATAAAAACTTATGTTAGATATATTATCAGGTACTAAACTATGAAATTCTACACGGATAGTTGAGTTGATACAAATGTAGTTCTACTACTAAACCTTCTTAACAATTAGACCAACCCCATGCTCTGGCTCCACAATTAATCTCAACATCGGCGAATGCTTATAATTGGGTGACAAAACGAAGCTAAATTTTATAAGGATGAGAGCGAGGACGATCTTAAGTTCGACCATGGCAAAGTTTTGGCCCAGGCATGTTCGAGGTCCCGCACCGAACGGCAGATATGTTTGGGGTAGCCTACAAGCACCCGTGACACCGTGCTCGAATCTCTTTGGATTGAATTCGTAGGCGTCCGCTCCCCATGTATCGTGGTTTTGGTGCATTGTGGGAACTGGGATGAAGATATTGATGCCTTTGGGTAGTTGAATGGTTCCAAGCTTTATGTCTCGGAGTGCCTCCCTTGAGATTACTGGACCAGGTGGATACAGACGGAGCACCTCTTGGATCACCATTGTTAGCTGATCAGAAGTAAATAAACTTAAATTATGTCTTCGAGGACAATTTCTTATTCGTAAAAAAGTTAATGTGTTATATTCAAATTAAGCTCGTTTTTTTGAGGAATAAATCGAAGGCAAACAAAATTATCCAGTGTGATGGAAATGGTGATGAATATTTTAATTTAAAATATCATTATTTTAAATTAAAAATAAAATAAAATACACATTTTCATGCTTAAATAAGGTGGTATATGAGTAAAAATTGAACTTTAGATATTATATGTATAAATACATAAGAATTTGAGTGGTATTTATGTAAATAAGAATTGTGCGGTATTGTATATGTGAAGCCCCATACAGTTTTCATCTTGAGGAGGGAGTTAGCGTCAGGTGATCTGCCGGCGCAGAGCTCCTTAACCTCGGCACGTGTACGTTCTTGCCACTCTGGATGGAGGGCGAGGAGTAGGAGGCACCACGTTGCCGCAACAGCGGTGGTCTCGTGCCCCGCGAAGTATATATTCTTACAGTTATCAACAACGAAGTCCTCCGCATCGCCGCCGCCGGCGTCGGTGGTGCTCCGGAGAATGGCCCGAAGGAGGTTGTTCTCCGGCGAGCACCGCCCTTCGTTGATGCTTCCCTCTCTGACCACCTCGAGTATGAGGGAACGGATCTCTTTGTTTAGTTTCCACACTTCTCGGTTGCTTTTCGTAGGGATGTGCCTGTGCATACCATGCTCAGGGGTTTTTACTCTGAACCAAGTATATTTATGTAAAAATTAATTTTTTTGTGCATTTTTTTGTAATCATATATGATTTTAGGGGTATTTACATATATATATATACTGCCCAATTCCATTGTATTAAACCACCAATTTAACATTTTAAAAATAGACACTTCTTTTCATGCATGGGCAAGATGGTTAGTACATACATAGGAATGGAGTGGCATGTACGTAAATCTTTTTATAATTTGATAATTATTATTTCAAAATCGACCATGTAATTTTAAGAAAAGTGGAGCTGGATACCTTATACCAGTGATTTCAAGGAGGAGATTTGGCTTAGAAACAGCTTTCTTCAATTCATAAAGCTTCAGAAAGATTTGCTTTCCTTTGGAATAACTGCTCCCAAAACTTGCTCTTGAAATCACATCTGCAGAATAGCTCTTCAGATCCTCATCAATATTTATCTCTGCTGTCCCTCCTCCATCCTCAACTCTTCTCTCCCATGTTCTTAACAGCGGCATGGCAGAGTCCACCATCAATTCAACCATTCCCTGCAAAAAATTTTTTCCCCTTTTCAATGTAACATTATGTTTATATGTATATTTGTGCCGCGTACTCAGATCAGTTGGTCGGACATCTGTCTGTTAGTTGTAAGTCTACTTTGATCTGAGGTTCGATTCCCCTCGAGTATACGGTGTGGTACTCGAATTCTTAGGCGAATTAGAGATGACCGGGGCTTGTATAATAGCTCCGGCCATTCCTTTCATAGAGAATATATATATATATATACATACTTATCTTAACCTTATCCTTATCCATGGAGCTCATGAAGAACTCTGGGATATATATATGGGATATAATTATATATTTATGGGATATAATTACCTTAACCTTATCCATGAAGAACTCTGGGGCAATAATTTTTCTTTGTTGAGTCCAAGAGTCTCCATTAGACTTGAGAATGCCGTGGCCAAACAGAGGCTCATGTGTTCTTTTTAGGTAAGTGGCCTTCCCTAAGTCAAGAGATTTGCATAGGTTCATTTCCCTCACCAATTCTGGATGGCTCACATGCAACATTGGTACGTTTCCCATAGTGTACAAAAATATTGGACCTACATGATATAAATTCATTCGTTAAGCTTATTAATCCTAGATATAAAATATCCTTAATTAGTGTTCTATTTATTTACAATAAATTTAAAAAGTAAGCCTATCTAAATTCAATCATCTGCTCGCAGACAACTTAGGGTCTGTTTGGGACAACTGCAACAATTTGAAACATCAACTGTGAAACTACTGCAAAAGAAGTTGTTCAAAAAACTGTGATGATTATTATAAATGCTTTTTTCAAAAAATTTGACTCCAACTTCTTAACATCCATCACACTGAGTCATATCATGTTGCAAAAATAGGTTGCAACCAATGCTTTCTGAAAACAAGTGTCGCTTGCCCCAATCACACTTGTAATGAAATCTAAGCTATAAAAAAGAATATTTAATCATAATTGAAAGAAAAATAAATGTAAAAACTTTAGAATAAATAATATTAATCAACTCGAGTAAATTTAATGAAGTGATTATTTACAATCAAATTTTAGATTAATTTGAGATTCCGAGCTGCATAAATTATTATTTTTTCCCTTATATGCTTCACTTAATTTATAGTATATCCTTCTACTAAATTCTCTAACTTCATCCAAACAAAATTCCAAAAATGAATAGAACAAATGTGTGATACCTTGCTAGATTAATTTCCTCCATAGGAACTTGTTTCTTGGCAGTTATGAGAACATCATAAATTAAATGGCGACATTATGAGTTCAAATGAGAGAAAATTTTAAATAAATATATCTGGATTTTAGCAAGTCTCTTATAATATGATGGTTGCAAGAAAGTTTAAGGATAATAATTTAAGCCAATTCATTGAACATCGACATACAACATATTAATGTAAGTCAACTACTCTCAAGTGACTTAAGATAAGCCCTTTGAATTTAATTTTATTGTTACACACAAACCCACAATTCTTATATATATATATATATATATGTATGTATACTTTTATTTAGGAAACCTTGTCGTTTTCAATAAAAAGAAGCTTTTTTTTTTTTTGGGTTTTTTGTAGGTTCATGAAACAACTCCATGAAACATGTTAAGTCAAGAATCTTCAATTCATGGTTTAAGCGAAAATGGAGGAAATGTAATATCAAATATCAAGTTTTATCTATGATTCTCATTAAAAAAGAGGAAGTAGATATAAATAAGAAAAAGATAGAAGAAGAATATGTTAGAAAAGGGAAGCATGAGAGCTAAATTGAACCTAAGTTAGTAGGTTTGTTTGGGGAAAATTTTACATTTTATTTATATTTTTTATTTTTTATTTTAGTTTTAGTTTTAAGATCACATTTATTTTTTTTATAATTTTTTACATTTTATTATTTCTTATTTGGAAATACATAAAATAATTTTTAGATTTTTTTGAGTATTTTTACAAATAAAAATAAAATAAAATAAAAAATAAAAATATAAAATTGATCGTCATTTATAATATCTTAAGAACTCAATTTTATTTTCCTTTCAATGATATTATTTTTTTTCTCAGCCGGAAGAACAAGAGGGAGCCCAAAAAACAAAAACCCAAAGAACTTCAAGTAAAAGAAGTAAATGCCTGCATACCATACATACTTCTCCATCTGTCGAAGTAAGGAAACAGAGCCGAGCTATAATCATGCCTTATCTTCTCCTCCCCTCCTCCCCTTCTCCTCCCCTTCTCCTCCCCCACAAACCTCCTCACCTCCTTCAAATTCCCATGCAGAAAAGCCGGCGGAGGGCCGCCGATGCCTTGCAGCCTCAGCTTTCTCCTAATCCTCTCCGGCCTTATCCATGCATTATAGTAGAAGTGCAGGGCAAGGCCACACAATAGTAGAACCAGAGCATAAAGAAGAGCTTCCATGGCCAACTCCACCCTACCTTCTCCTTCCTCATAAGAACACATTGATGTGTATAAATGATATGATATTCATCGGATCGGACTTTCACTCTGCATTCTAAAAAAAGATGTTTTGTACTTTATGTATTAAATGAATGTAGAACAGCATGGTGGAGATGAGAGGCCGGAAAAGGTAACGGCTGAATAGTGCAACCTGGTAAAAGGACAGCGCTTGTATAAGGGATCGCTTTTTTACAAAAGTAGTTTTATGGGTTTGGCTTTAGAAATACTTTATCATTTATTTTATATTATTATGTTTTGTGCATTTGGAAACAGAAATGCTTCATAAAAAAAAGCATATTTAATTTAAGTGCTATTTGATGTTGTAGCAACATAGATAACCCAAACACTAAATGTGTCTCATGAGCAGAATGGATTGAGACTGTTGATTATGCACTTGATGTTTTGGCCCTGACCGAATTGTTCATGCTCGTTAGTTGTATTTTTTGAGATGAGATGCTATGGGTTTTTTGTTTCTTAGAAGGACCTGACGAGTACCTATGCTGAAGCTCGTCAGCTATCATATGAGTTATGTCTATAACTTCAAACGATTTTCCTCTGCCCTAGTTCGCTCATGCTCTTTTACTCAACTCGCCCGCAATAACCAAGCTATTTTACCGAGCTCGTTGACATCTACCCAACTGAACCACCAAGCTCGACGAATAACCCTTTGCAATAGAAGGAAGAAAACTCTTCTATCTCCATCAATATCTATTTATTGGTCACCTAATATCCATGTTGAGGATCTTATCAACAGTGAGTATGCAGGTTTCGTGCAATGCGACCTATAATGTAATATTTTATTTATTCTTTAGAGTCCGGTGTGGACACTTACGTTCTATGTCGTACAAGTAGGAAGTAAATTAGGGAAGCAGGATTTATCGAATCTTTCTTCATGAAATCTGTAATTTATGCATAATGTCTACTATGTTATACCAACACTTCCCCCACTATAGACAACAATGTCATTGATAATCTATAGTATAAATGAGCGGCGACTGGAATCATTTTAATAAAAATGACACTTAAATATTTCACGAAGAACCAACTCCTGGTAAGTATTTGGTCCCCCATTTATGGACCGCACCGTCCACTTGCAACTATAGCAACCGATCACGTGCATCTGTAACTATTTGTGCTCCTGTCATTGGCTTAGGGTTCATGTGAAAGGCCTGCAGATCTGCTTTTGAGCCAACATCTTTGTACGGATCCTGCCCCAATATCTTTCGGCCGTTTTAACGTTTTATGAATTTTGACTTGGTCTCTCCATAGGCCTTTGATTAGGGATTTCGGGGCTCCGTTCCCTATTTCGATGTGAATGCAACCCCGTGATAGAAGTTATCAAGCCATAATTATGAAGAAATATGGCTTTTACATAAATACCACCTAAATCTTATTTATCTACAAATCAGACATCAAAACCTTACTTTAATGTATTAATAAGGCTCTGATATTTTATACTGTCTATGATTAATTTAATTATTGTTTTATGAATTTTGACTTGGTCTCTCCATAGGCCCTTGATTAGGGATTTCGGGGCTCTGTTCCCTATTTTGATGTGAATGTAACCCCGTGATCGAAGTTATGAAGCCATAATTATGAAGAAATATGGCTTTTACATAAATACCACCTAAATCTTATTTATCTACAAATCAGACATCAAAACCTTACTTTAATGTATTAATAAGGCTCTGATATTTTATACTGTCTATGATTAATTTAATTATTAAAAATTAAATATTTTTTATCGTGTACATATAAAGTGATATATATATATATTATTTTTTTAAAAGGAATCGTCAGCGGCTATTATAAAGGCCCTGATCATCTTTCATGAGTCTGAGAATTCGAGTACCACATCCTATACTCGAGGGACATCAAACCTAGACCAGAAGGGACTTACAACGGACAAGCAAATGCCCGATCAACTAATATGAATAAGCTGCACTTCAAGGAATATATATATATATATATATAGTTAGTTAGTTAGTTAGTTTGTTAGGCTTGACTCAATAAATAGCTCCCGAGTACAGCTTGTCAAGCCAATGAGCCCAGCTTGGCAAACTAATAAATAGCTTTTTATTATGAAACCGAATTACAATCCAGCGAAAAGTGAAGTGGTATCGGATACGACAATCGCTCCATCTGCGGGTACTTTGGATAATATATATTAATTATTTATCGTACAATGCTGTTTGCTTTCACAATTTTTATTTATAATATATGTTATTGTGGAGAAGGTACCAGTTCAGTAATTGTTCCTTTGTGCCCTTAAATTCAGCCAAAGTGATGGGGTCCGATGGTCCCAGTATTCTTCTTCTTTTTTTAAACAAAAGTTTATGCAGATTGAGTCCCCAAACAACATTAGTTTAGATTAAGTTTGAAGTGATGAGGGTGTTAATGATATTTTAACTTATCATCCGATTATAATGGAAGGTTTACACACATTTTATCTTATCTATACATTAAAATATATGTTTTACTTTTTTTTTTAAAGTTAAAATGTTGATAATTTTTTTTTTATGGGTGATTAGATATTAGACATGTAAATACGTAAAAATTCAACGGTATGCATGTGAATGCCCCTATTATGAAAAGTAGTGTTGTACAATTATTTTTTTTTTTATGGGTGATTAGATATTAGACATCTAAATACGTAAAAATTCAACGGTATGCATGTAAATGCCCCTATTATGAAAAGTAGTGTTGTACAATTAATTATTTGAAAGGTTTGATGGTATGGACTAGGTCAAATTTATTTGAGTTTAGTTAAATTAGCTTAATCTCGATCTGACAAGTTGAACTCATAATGTCTTTGTTGAATCTACAAAGCTCAAGTATAGTGGTCTAAGTTTAAGATCTCCCCGCCAAGTTGGTTATTTGTTTGAGGGAGAACGACGACTCACCAGGAAGTCAGCTATCAGTGCAATCACTCAATTAGGCTACAAGCCTTATATATTTCATTGGGAGCAATGAATGTATCGAATTATATATTTTTCTTATTCGTGTAACTTAATATATAACTTTTTTTACAAATTCAAACCCCTACGCAAACAAATATCTAAGGAGTTAGAATGAGAGCATGTGGTTACACATTTTTTTTGTACGTGACATATTATAGTAAAATCCTAGTATATTTTCTCTTAAATCTCTTTTTTTTTTTCTCTTCACTCTTTTTATGAGCTAGTAAGGGTCTGGTGTAGCACACATACATGTTTAGATACAACATTTTCAATGATATAGTGTTTAAAATATATATCACGAACTAAAAAGAACATACAAAGGATCTTACAGCAAATCAAAGAGACCTCAAATAACATGAAAATTCGAGACTTAAGGAAAGAAAAAATTGATCAGAAAGATAAATTCAAGAAATCATGGAGCAAATTTCTAAAGCTACCCCCAATATATAGTTGCTAGAGTCATCAAATTTTGTTGTCATAATGAGACATTACAGTGTAAAAGTTTTATTTTTCACCCTAGCAAATGAACAAATTATGAAATCTACTACCTAAATTTAAAGAAGATTCACGTCCTCCATGAGACAAAGTAGAGAGATGAATTTAGAAAAGAAGCCGTAATCAACAAATGCCTCTTAAGAATGATTGAAAACATACAACCTTCTATAAAATTTAAGATTCTATATTTTGATTCTCACAAAAAAACGAAGATTATGATATAGTTACTTGGAAGACTTTGTTCCTTAATACCAATGATGCTTTAAAATGGAAGTTATTTCTTACAATTTTTACTGAGTCAGCTCTATGAGCATTCATAACTTAATATGGTTATGCATAGTAGTCACTAAAGAATTTGTAGGACTTATTAAAGATAAGATAAGACAAAAACTGGTTGTTAAAATGCTTCATATTGAGATTCTAGATGAAACAATGGGAGGTAAAAAATTTTAAGTTAATTATAGCTCAAGCTGAACTTACGTAAAGTTCGAGGGAAGGGTTATTTTGAAATACACTTAAATGAAACAACCAAGGTCTTTGATTGAGTCTTTGGAGCTCATCAATTCTCATGCCAACATTATGAAGTACAATTGTGAGACATTTGTTCAATTGCCGATCCCACTTAGTGGAATTAAGGCTATGCTGTTGTTGTATACAACTTTTAGTAATATTTTAGACACACAATAGGTCGACCAAAATCTTAGAAGACAGAGAAGAACACGTTAACTTGTCCATAAGAACACTATTAGAACCATCAAATTTGTCATTCAGTGAGTCAATTTTAAAATTAAAATTAAGAGATAGAAGAAGAACAAAAATTTTGTTATTATTGAGTTGCTTATTAGTGACACACTCTAAGTACTGTGAAGAACTGGTGACTCATGCAAGTATACATGACATATCAGTAGTACCAGTCTAGAGTTCTGGTTATCGATCCCATAGGGAATGAAATAAACCCAATTTTTTTAATAAATTCTAGTTTACTAATATTAGTCATAGCCTAAAAAATTTTAATTAGCAAGTTTAAATGTGTCTCAATCCTAATTTTAAGAAAGTAAGTCTATCCTAACAAGTAAAAATAAATTCAAAGAAGGTCAATTTTTAGAATGATTTCCCCCTTGAATTGGTCCAATGGCAAATACAAATGAGAAAATGATTAAGGCTTAGTGTCAATCAGGAGCACAATCTTTCTTATACCCTTCAAGTGGTTTAGAAAAGCATGGTTATCATAGGTCTAATTGTTTAAATTCCATGTTTGGCCAAAACAACATCATCTCCCCATTGATTGCATAAACTCAAAGGATATAAATTCCATGTTTGGCCAAAACAACATCTCCCCATTGATTGCATAAACTCAAAGGATATATTTCTATTCCATTGAGTTTATGTGATTAACCCTTTTTAGTGGTTTAGAAAAGCATGGTTGTCATAGGTCTAATTCTTTAAATTCCATGTTTGGTCAAAACAACGTCATCTCCCCATTGATTGCATAAACTCAAAGGATATATTTCTATTCCATTGAGTTTATGTGATTAACCCTTTTTGTTCTACTTTATTATTTTGCATCTTAGAGTTCATGATAGATTTTAACTATCCTACTGGTCAGGTAGGATGTAAATTAAGAACAAGAGTTAGCATAACACTTTTATGAGAACATAAGAAAAAATCATCAAGCGAATCCCAATTCTATCTTACCAAATTTCCATTTTAAGGGAGAAACAAAAA